TAGAAGCCTAACAATTGTGTAAGATGTTGGTTCTTAACTCTGGCTGTGCATGAAGAATCCCCTAGGGAAGGTTTTTTAAAATAACTTGAAAAAGATTAAGTATAACTTAAATACAATAAAGCACACAAATCTTAAGGATACAGCTTGATGAATTTTCACTCCTGTGTGACCACCACCCTGCATGATAAAGAACATTTTAGGTACCTCTGGTCCTTCCTAAACCCTTCTGGTCAATATCCCAGCCTCTCCCACTCCCACCTCCACAAGGAAATTGTTCCTCTGATTTCTAACATCATAGAGAATAACTTGAGAAGCTTTAAAAATGCTGATTACTGGGTCCCACCACGGAAAGATGAACAGCCAGTCTCACCTGGGTGGCACTCAGGCCTGGGACCAGGTGATTCTGATGTATGGCCAGGACTGAGAAGTATTCACAGGTTTAAGTTCAAGTCCCGTTCCCCACAGGGCAGCAAGGGCCTGAATTAACAGTCCAAAGAGCTCCTCCCAGCACTCCAGACAGCCCCTCTGGCAGTTTCTGGATTGCATCCATCATGAGCCCGGCCAGGTACTGAATCCGCCCGGATGCTGGGGTGGCCCACTGAGGCAGGTGACCTCAGTTCTCGGACGGGCCAGAGGCAGGTGGGCTGGGCCATGGATTTCAGTGGAAGTGACAGGTGACGTCCAGGCAAGAGTGGAGATGGCGGCGGCAAACACATTCCATCAAACATGCCTCCTTCCCCAAAAAGTCCCCTCCGATGTTTATGAAATGGATCTGGTGTGACCCAAAGCAGGCAGTCTGGTTTGGACTACAGTTTTCAGTACACCCAGATCTCACTGTAGGAGATTTCTCTTTAGCGTTATTTGGAGCTGTGATGATCCCTAAGACTCTGAGCACGCTTCCCCCAGAGACCCCTGCAGATGTAAAGCCAGCGACCCTCAAAAAGGGGCAGAGGAGAGAAAGAGCAAAAAGAAATCAAAGAGAAATGACAAGCACTCACGTGGCTTTTGCAGGACGGCTTGCCCAACCCAAACTTCTGCGTGATCTGGTTTGTCCTGAACTCTTGCCATTTGCCACCCACCGGGGTCTGGGCTCTGATCTCGTAGGTCACCAAGCGTTCCGCTCTCAGGCTGATAGGGCCGTGTTCACAGACCAAGGAGGGGAATTCCAAGTCGGTGTGCCTTATTCTCTGCAAGGAGGGTGATCCACCTTAGGTGGAACTGAAACCGGGGTGACCCGGTGTTAGCAAAGCCTGGTTTCTGGCACGTCGGCCCCCCTGTCTGATGTGTGCAGAGAGCAAGCGTTTCCCTGTGGCCCCGTTTCCTGAGCAGGGCTGCTGCTGAGTCAGTTGGCATTTGAACCTTCACCGTGAGCAAACCACTGGCTGACAGACTAGGGTTTGGCCAACCCAGGAAAACGCCATTAAGTCAAGCTGTAGTGAATTGGAAGGTCTTTGCTATTGCTTTGCCAGAATTAAAAAACCCACGTAGTATTCATATGAGCATTTTCACTACTGTTGTTACATAATTGCTCCCTCCCATCCAGTAAAACCCATTATGTAGGGAAATGCCTGAGTCACTGAAGACCGAAGTTCGGCCCGACTTGCTCAAGGACACACAATGAGGTGGTGGCCAAGCTGGGATGAAAACCCAGGTTTCTCATTCATGTATTCATTCATTTATTCATTCATGATACAAATGTACTGGCCCTGTGTTCCTGGTTCTGTGATTGGCAGTGGTAATAAAAAGATTTGTAAGACATGATTTCTCAAGGAGCTTAAAGTCTATGAGACTTATAATCAAATCCTAAGTGGAGCACAGCAGGCCACCATCACAGCGGTCATCGTCATCATCACATGGGCCCTGTTCCAAGCCCTTCGCACAATTTAACACATTTAAGACTTACAACCATGCGGGGAGGTAGGTCCTATTGCCTTCTCCAACTTAAATTAAAGGTCAGGAAAGTGGACACAGGGAGGTCCCTGGACTCGCCAAGGTCATAGGGCTCACCAGGTAGTTTGACTTCAGACTCTATTCTGAAACCCAGCTCTCCTGCCCCTCCTAAAAGTCCAGCAGGAGCCTGGAGGTGAAGCCATCCGCCCTCCTGACTCCTCCGGGGTCCTGTCCACAGCTCTGCTCTGCCACTCCGAACAAGACCATTCTCTCTCCCTTTGTGGGCACTGCTAGTTACCTCCATGGAAGAATGGCCATCTGTAAAGCGTCACCCAATATGAACAAACTGAAGGTGAACTGTGCCCCTTCTGATGTGGTTTCAGAAGACCAGAATTTAACCCTGGATCTACCAGTAGAGGTCATGTGAACGTATAGACACTCAACTTTGAGATCGTCATCTATTAAACGGGGATAAGAGCAGCAACCTCAAAGTAAGGGTGCAAAAATCAAATGACGTCACATCTGTGTGATTATCGCCAGGCTTCTAACACATCCCATATTAAGTAGTAATTAATGTTTAATCAACTACTATTAATTCAATATGAATCGGCTCTGAATCTAAATGGCTTTTTCAGACACATACCTTTCCTGTGCTCTGTCCTTCTTACCTGCATGTGAAAACTATACGAGGTAGTGCCATGTTTGATTCCCTTTATCTCAAAGAAGAATCCATATATGGCAATCATTTTCGAATGTGTCGTATACTCCTAAATTGAGAAAGATAAGCAACAAAGTGACAGAAAAAAAAAATCTTCAGTATTCGGAGGCAACAGGACATAGCCAAACCAATTCCAGCCACAACTACAAAACTAGCTAACCTGTGATTTAAAACTCAACAGCAATTTTAGCCTAGGAAGCAAAAGAAAAGACAAATTGTAGTGACTTCACAAATCCTTACAGGTTAGCGCTCAGTGGCAAAGCTATTTGCTCTGCACGCCCCTCGGTTCTTGGACGACCTGCAATCTGCAGAGACCTTGGAAACAAAGCATTTTGCTCCGTGCTCATGATATTGCAGGGTGTCCTGGCCACTGCAGTCTGCAGTCTGTCCACTTGGGCAAGTCTCTGCAAGCAAGGGGCTGGACCTGGCCCAGCCAGGCCTGGTCCAAAGAGGAGTCTCTGATGATAGATTCAAGGCCCCAGGCCCCTAAAACACAAATTCTTTTGAGATCACTACTGGGGTGGCTTTGATGAAGTTGGAGGAAAACAGTAATCTCTTGGAGAACATTGCCTATCAAGGGAGCCCAAGACAGAGCCCAGCCGTCAGCCCCACATGCTCCCCTGGTGACTGAGTGCCCAGATGTCCTGCAGCCAAGCTCCCTGATCCACTGCTGCTTTGATTCTGGGTTCCATCAAAAGAGCTGCCCAAAACAGGTTCACTCTTGAAATCTTCAACGTGGGCTCAGAGTGGAATCTCTCCTTGAGCAGTTGGCAGCCCGTCATGTTTACTCAGAAGGAGATGACCAACTCATCCCAGTTTGCCCAGGCCTCTCCTGGCTTTAGAACAGAAAGTCCTGCATCCCCAGGGAAGCTCCCCCAATTCTGGAAAACCGGGAGATTTGGTCACCTTTGTAGGGAATCTTGGGCATGCACATCAGGTTACTGAATGGCCTCTTCCAGGTTTTGTGAATTTTACTTCTGAGGGGGTGGTAAGTGTGCAGAAAAGACACCTATGATTTCCTCTTCTACCCTGGCCTGCCTTTCTACCAGAGCTAAGAAGTGATCAAAGGTCCTTAACTAAGCATGGAACAGGGGTGTTCTTCACCCTGCTCACCCAGCCGACAGTACCTGGGTAAAGAGCAGCCCGAATCTCACCGCCTGGGTGGAGAGATTGTTCACGTGGGCCATGTCGCCCCCACTCTCCAGCTGGAAGGAAAACACACACTGCTTACCAGCAGCCTGATCGCCCAACACCATCTTCACATCGGTTCACTGAGCCCTACAACCCCCACTGTGCTTGAAAGAGTTCTGTCTCTGGATCCTACATTTATCCGTGAATCCAGTCCGCAGCATTTATCTGACAACCAACTAGCCAGGTACTGTGCGTGATGCTTCCAGAGGATTCAAAGACAAGAACAAGAAAGATGCCCCAGCCATCTTACTGGGGAAATAAAATGCGTACATTAGTAGCTGGATCACCAGGCAGAGAATGACCGTGGCTATCGAGTCAAGAGCAAGTACGGAACTGCACGAAGGCTGGGATGGGGAGGGAGAAGATTTCAGGAGGATGACATTGGCAGCAGGGGGCAAAAGGAAGGAGGTGGGCAGGGCCAGAAGGACATCAAGAAGGAGGTGGGGGACTTCCTGAGGTGTCCAGCCACAGCCCAAGACTGTCCTCTCTGTGTCACCCCCTCCCCTCCTCTGCTCTGTCAGAGCACAGTTCTAAGCTATGTCCCAGAGAAGCACGAGTGGTTATACTGTGCGGGGGGCACTGAGCCCCATGGTTTGCACATTACAATAGGTATTTGTTGAGCTGAACTGAATTTTTAACTAGTGACTCATAAATCTTCAGAGCTCAAACACTGCCCCACTTCATCTCTGAAAATGTATGATTGGAAACACATAAGAAGTGCAGCAGTTTGCATGGACAATTCACAAAGGGGAAAATGCCACATGAAGAAAGATTCATGTTTACTAGTAATTAAGGGAATGCGCGTTACCAAATAAGACGCCATTGTTTGCTTTGCATTTAACACAAGTCACCTGTAAGGAAAATGCCCTTCGCTGCTGAGCTGGTACCGAGTGAGGAATCTCATGAATCACTGGGGGAAGAGTAATTTGGTTCCAGTTTTGCTAATATGTATCAAGAACAAAAGTGCACATTCCTTTCGGGGCCAGTATTTTCTACTCTTGAGAATCTCCTTGAATCAACCATTACGTGCAAATGCATTCACCATTCGGTCTATTTATAACAGTTAACAATAAACAACACCGTGACTTTAACAGCAAGAAACACGGTGACTTTTCTACAATAAAGGAAAGGCCGAGTAGCATTGTTTGTTGCATATCTTCTTGGTGGAAGAGTTAGAAGTGATTACAAGTGGTGATAGGAAGCATATTTAACTACGAGTATTTTTTTTTTTTAAAAAAGACTGAAAGGCAGTGAAATGCAGTGACCTGCTAGCAGCGGTTATTTTTGGATGATGGGTCTGAAGGGATGTGTTTTCTTTCAATTTCTCTGCATTTAAAAAACTTCTAATAAGCACGTGACATTTGTGTCTGTGAGGGGACTTGGATTGGAGGGCTGTGTGGCCAGTGGGCCCTGACTCTCCAGGTCCCACAGGGCGGATGCTCTGAACACCTGGGTTCCAAGGCAGGGCCTCCTCCTCCTCCTCCCCTCCGGGCTTGGCTCTCCCCACTTCCCCTGGCGGAGGATCCAGATACATCCCGACCTCAAAGGCCCAGAGGTTTCCAATGCAAAACACATCTCCAGAAAAAGGAAAGTCCAAAAGGCAATAAATTTCAACAACTGATTCCTTGCCGAGCTGACGACTCACCGCGTGGTAATGGTAGGCTGTGGCCCGCAGCAGCCAGGATTCGGGGAAGAAGTTAATACGCCTTAACTCCTCCAGATCCTTGCCTGGGAAGAAGCACGGGGGGGGGGCATTCTTATGGCTTTATTCATAACAGAACCACAAAAGTCTCATTTACCGAGGGAGAAAGGAGGAAGTCAGGAGCTGAGGACTGGAGGGCCTTCCTGGGCCTGGGAATCATAAGGTGTGCAGAACCCAAGTGGGACGTCCCAGAGCGCTTTCTACCAAAGCGTTCACAGCCCCCTGCCCACCACCCTGCCCGAGGAGGGAGGGTTGAGGTCTGACCATCAGTGTCTGTGGAGGGTCTAGAAGCAACTTGGACTCTCTGGGCTCCATCAACCGTCCGTGGGTTTTAGAGCTGCTCATTCTATCTGGGTCACTGGAAATGGCTTTGAAAAAATCTTTCAAATGTCCTTTCAGAGGCAAAGATCTCACTGGGTGGCCACCTGGGCTGCCCAAAACACACTCTCCAATAGTTCCCTCTCTTTCCAAGTCACAGAAGCCTTGCCCTGGGCCAGAGCATGACGCTGAGGAGGCTCAAGCCTGGAGCAACAACCCAGTTTTCTCCCAAACCATGAACGAGCGACCAAGAGGGGATGTCGCTCGAAGAGGCAGGGCCCGCGTTTAGACGGCAACAAGGCAGCTGTCAGCACTGAGAACACTTTCACAGCTCATAAGCCCTTTCCATCCGTCATCATGTTTCACAGAAGCTCTGATTATTCCCATTTTACAGATAAGCAAACTGAGACCGGGCTGTTCAGTGACTTTCCCAAAGTCACACCTCTTGGAAGTGACAAAGTCAGATCTCAGCTGATTCCTTTGGAAACATCTGGTGGGGCCTCCCCGGGAGTGGCTGAGGGGTGGGGCAGGTCCCCAGCAGCCTGCCACGGACGCACTCACATGGGCTGGAGCTTACCTTTGGTGATGCCATGCAGACGCAGGCAAAGGAAGAGCTGCATCAAGTTCTGTCCTACATCCCGGTCCAGAAAGGAACACTTCTCGGGAAAGCTTAGCAGAGATGCAGAGAGAAATAAGAGGCTGTCAGAAAGCTCTTTTCTGGATTTGACTAGGGCTATGAAAGTCACATCAGAGACTAGTGGTTCCATCAGCCAGGGGTGGAAGGTGCCTGGTTCTCTCTGGATGGGTGAGGAGTGTGGAAGCAGAAGGTGGTTGCAATGAGGACAAAGGGTTATATTCCCTGGTCATTGACCACTGAGCTGTGCACTTAGTAAGTGTCCGACAAATACTCATTAAATGCCCATAGGAACGCATGTGACTGTACAGAGGTTTTCAAGATACATTTTCTCACTTGAGTCTCACAAACATTTCAAGGAACAGACAGGACAAGTATTATCAGCTTCATTTTACAGATAAAAAGAACAATGGCTCAGCCAGGACTTGAACCCAGGACTTCTGATTCCTCCTCTACACAAACTGCCCTTTGAATAAATGGCCACATCAGGTACTTCAAAAGCACTTTCTGGAGCACCTAAATGTGTAAAACAAACACTAGCAGACATAAAGGTAATACAATAACAGGAGGAGACTTTAACACCCCACTAACATTATTAGACAGGTCTTCCAGACAGAAAATCAATAAGGCAACAGAGATATTAAATGGCACATTAGAACAATGAGGCTTAATTGATATTTTCAGGACATTACATCCCTAAAAAATAGAATGCACATTCTTTTCAAGTGCACACGGAACATTCTCTAGGCTAGACCACATACTCAGACACAAAACAAGCCTCAACAAATTTAGGAGGATAGAAATTGTTTCAAGCATCTTTTCTGAATACAGTGATATGAAACTGGCAGTCAACCACAGAAAGAGAAATGAGAAAAAAACCAACTGCATGGAGACTAAACAACAGGCTACTAAAAAGCCAGTGGGTCAAGGAGGAAATCAGAGAGGAAATCAAAAGCCCTTTCCAGCAGAGCTGAAAAGAAAGGATGGTCGGATGAATGGGTAACTGTCTTGGCAGCTGGTTCCAGGATCAGCTCTGCGACACTGTTATTACTAAAATCCAGTTAATTTCCACATGCGGCTGAGGTTGGGGCTGGGTTGAGATCAGATCCTCCTTGAGAAGACACATTACACACAGACACACGTTCACCACACTTGTTTTGAAACAGGTTACTTCATAAAACGGTCACTTTTGACAAATGGGGACAACAGGATGATAATTTTTCCAAGTCCCTTTGGAAAGACAAAGTCATTCCCTCAAGACAGATCCTGTATGAGACCAGCCAAGGGCACTTTTAGATTATTTTTCCATGAATCAAGTGTGATGTCCAAATCACAGCCTGTCCCAGCCAGACTGAGCGCTCCGTTGCCCCGTGTCCTGCCTCTGCTGGAGGTGCCCGCCAACCTGCCTGCGGACCATTTGTTTTCACAGCATCTGGGAATTCCTGGAACTCTCCAACTCCTCCTGTCAGTGGTCCCAGGAGGTAAGTTTAGGGATGCTGAGGCATTGTGAGAGGCGAGAGGGGTATGAAGACGAATGAGTTAATTCAAATTCAATGATTACTTATTAGAATTCCCTGGAGGCTTGTCTCTGGGGATGGACAGACCAGGTAAAAAGGAGGGCTGACACTTCCAGGAGTGCAGGGCTATCGACCCTGGAACCAGCCCCCCTCCGTTACCCGAGGCAGGTGGAGCTGGTTGAGTGTGGGCCGTGCCAGGGCCTGAGAGCATGGCTGCCTTAGCTGGACGATTAAGACTCACCTGCCTCCTTTCCCTGACCTGAGTGCTGCTCCCCTCCCTGCCTCTCTCTCACCATGTAATGGAGTAACAAGTTAGGTGGCATCACAGTGGGTGCAGCTGTAAAGGAGGAAGGAAGAAGCGGAGCTGGCGTGGGACCTCCAGCCCTTGAGTGCTCTGGGGGATGAGCCTGCACCCTTGACAAGGGCTCCCACAGCCCCGAGTGGCCCCCAAGAAGGGAGCACTTGCTGAGCCGCACGTTAATACGGTGTCTGCCCAGAAGGGAGAGAACAGCCTAGAGGACAGATTTCCCTGCCAGCTCAGAAGCGCCCAGGCGCCAGCCCCGCAGCTTTGTGGGAAGGCTGCTGGGAGCGTAGGAGGGCCCCTGATTCTTCCTATGAAAAGCACTCAGACCCGACGACCAACAGCCAGGACCTCACCAGACAGTCCTCCTCCCGCAGAGGATTCTGGAAGAGCTTTGTTTAGACAAGTGATTGGACTTCATAACCCCTTTGAGTCACAGAGAAGTGGCACTGGTGGTGGCTGACTTGGAGAGGTCAAAAGTCAGCTCATCCATCACTCAACCATGCTTCCAGCTCCTGAGCTCTGGCCTTGGAGTCGGACAGACCGGGTTCCAGGCCTGGGCCAGCCAGCCATCAGCCATGTGACCAAGCCTCCCTGACCGTCCATCTCCTTCTTTGTCAAAGGGGGACAATGACCGCATGTATTTCCCTGGTAGTTGGGCGAAGAAGAGGAGACAGTGCTTGTGAGGTGCTGGGCACAGCTGCTGGTTCCCAGTGGCACTCTGAGCCTCGTGATTACCACCAGGGGAAGTGACCTGGACTCAAACCGGTCAAGTCCATGGCCAAGTTCTTGGTGCCATTCATTACCACTGCCACCTAACTTAGCAGAGCCACAGGCTACCTCAAAGGAAGAGAACAGTGACCTCAGCTGCTGATTCTCTAAAATCCCAAGGCATCTGAGCAGTGTGGTCCAACTCCTCCAACAATTGGCATAACCCTTCCCCTAGAGCCTGGCGAGGTGATCGCTGCAGAGGCAGGACTCCGCCAGGCCTCCCGAGAACAGCCCAGCTCGCTTCCACCTAACTCGGCTCAACTCCGCATGGCTGTTTGGTGGAATCAAAGGCTGGCATGGCATCCTCAGGTGCTGAGCTCCGTCTGTGCAAAGATTTCTTTGAGTTTAGCACTGACTTTTCTGGAACAAACTTCAGGCCATGGTGTCTGCCTCCCAGAGTTCATGGAGAAACCCTTGGGGAATGACTCCCTTAGGGAAGAAAATTCATAGGTCCTGGATACTGAAAGATACACTCAGATCAGGTCTGCCTCCTGCTCACAAAGCCCTGGGACAACCCCCTCCCCCAGACCTTCTGAAAGGCAGTGCCCGGGACAAGTCTCCGTCTGACAGGCACAGACTGTAATTTTAGAGCGGCCGTTAGCCATGACCTTCTCACTTTCTCCATCCTGTCATCTGTTGGCATCATTTACCCTTTCAGACTCCAAGTGCCACGAGCCTAGCACTTCAGATTTTAGCCTTAAAGTACATACTGTGGAATTCTGACATCTGCTGTAACACAGACAAGCCCTGAAGTCGTTCTGCTAAGTGAAATAAGCCAGACACAAAAGGAAACATACTGTGCGATTCCACTTATATGAGGTTCCCAGAGCAGTCAGAGTCACAGAGGAGGAGGGTAGAAAGGTGGTTACCAGAGGGGAGCAGGAAACAGGGACTTATTGTTTCATCTGTGTGGAGCTTCAGTTTAGGAAGACGGACAAGCTCTGGAGGTGGATGGTGGTGATGGCTGCACAGCATTGTCCATGTACTGAATGTCACTGCACTATACACAGAAAAATGGCGAAAATGGTCAATTTTATGTTGTGTATATTCTACCCCAATAAAAAAGAATTAGGGTCAAAAAGTACTTAGTGTCTATGGAAAATATCTGAAATAATATTTTAGATTTTAAGGTGAAGTTTGACAAAATGACACCCTTTGGGGCCATAACTCATGAGAAGAAGGGAGCATGACTTTTTCAAAATGTTAACTCAGCACAGAAGACCTGGGCACCTTCCGAAACCCAAGAAGCAGGAAATAGTCCTCTTGGCTCCTGATACCAAAGTGTGGTAATGAAACAATTCTGACTGTCGCCACCACCACCATCACCTACCAAATGTCACCACCATTCAGGACCTCCTGCCAAGTGCCGCACCGGGCTTTTTCTTTGAGTCAGAACAAACCTATGTCGGAGTTGATGAGAGGGCATTGTTAACCTCCACGCAGGAAGGTCAGGCATTTGCCCAAAGTCTTACAGCCAGTAAACGGCAGGAGTGGGAGTCAGACTCCGGACTGCCACCTTCTAACACACACCTCATTTACTGAATGTGCTGTTCGCCTCCGCTTCCACTGTGAAGATGGGAATTTGTTTCTGTTTTATTTACCCTTTCATCCTCAGCACCCCTGACGGCGCCTGGCTCTCGTTTGGCTTGCAATATGTTAAGTGAATTAATTGGATGAATGAGTTGGTCCCTGCCAACTCACTAGCCCTAATTCTACCATCCCCTCCCTCCACTCCCCGATAATTTACCTTCTAGGAATGCAGTTCCAGCCCCAGGGCACGCACACCTGCGCGCACACACGTGCATGCACAGACCAGGCTATTCCACATCAAATTTCCTATGCTCACGGGGTCCTGTCTGTTGTTGTCACACTTATTTGTCAGGCCAAGTCCTATTGGTCATTCGTCGAGACCCAGTGCAATGTCATCTTGAGTATGAAGACAGAGATGGTCCTGACCTTTGCCCAAAGGCAGAACTGGGTCAAGAAATTTTTTCTAATGACGACTTTATCTGCCCTCTGCAACGACCTCCTGCACCCAGACCTTCAAAGCCTCCACTGTGACTGTTGAAGATGATTTGAGGCCACCCAGTTTGGGTGGAAAGCCAAGAAGTCACATGAAGGAAGTGGAAAGGTCGTAAGGAATAGGAATCAATTTATAGGGACATTGAAGAGAAGGGAGATTCAGCTTCTAGGGAGCCAAGCTAAGTGGGGCTGGGGCAGTGCTGGTCAGAGAGAAAAAGGCAAGAAACTCTGAAGTCAGGTCATGAGAAATCCTGACCTGAAATATATCAACCTCCCTGCGCAGGTGGAGAGATTCCAAGAGAGAACAATTCAGTTGCCCTCATGTCCATGACTCGTGGAATATTCCAGAATGAATGTTCTGGTAAAGAGATCAGAGTTGCCACACAAGGGATGCCAGGTTTCATGATGACTCTGTGGTCGTATC